CGCTCACGCACGCTTGCTGGAAGTCCAAGCCCCTTGCCCACAAAACCTCCTTTACCCCCTCTCTCCAACCCTTTTGAGGACGACCCCTACCCCGCCTTCCTTCCCCTATAGATTTATATGCTTTCCATGTCATTCTACTTTGATCCATTCTCTCTAAATGACCAAACCACCTCAACAACCCCTCTTCTGCCCTCTGACTAATACTTTTATTAACTCCACACCTTCTCCTAATTTCCACACTCCGAATTTTCTGCATAATATTTACACCACACATTGCCCTTAAACAGGACATCTCCACTGCCTCCAACCGTCTCCTCGCTGCTGCATTTACCACCCAAGCTTCACACCCATATAAGAGTGTTGGTACTACTATACTTTCATACATTCCCTTCTTTGCCTCCATAGATAACGTTTTTTGACTCCACATATGCCTCAACGCACCACTCACCTTTTTTCCCTCATCAATTTTTGATTAACCTCATCCTTCATAAATCCATCCGCCGACACGTCAACTCCCAAGTATCTGAAAACATTCACTTCTTCCATACTCCTCCTCCCCAATTTGATATCCAATTTTTCTTTATCTAAATCATTTGACACCCTCATCACCTTACTCTTTTCTATGTTCACTTTCAACTTTCTACCTTTACACACATTCCCAAACTCATCCACTAACCTTTGCAATTTTTCTTTAGAATCTCCCATAAGCACAGTATCATCAGCAAAAAGTAACTGTGTCAATTCCCATTTTGAATTTGATTCCCCAAAGTTTAATCCCACCCCTCTCCCAAACACCCTAGCATTTACTTCCTTTACAACCCCATCTATAAATATATTAAACAACCATGGTGACATTACACATCCCTGTCTAAGACCTACTTTTACCGGGAAGTAGTCTCCCTCTCTTCTACACACCCTAACCTGAGCCTCACTATCCTCATAAAAACTCTTTACAGCATTTAATAACTTACCACCTATTCCATATACTTGCAACATCTGCCACATTGCTCCTCTATCCACTCTATCATATGCCTTTTCTAAATCCATAAATGCAATAAAAACTTCTCTATCTTTATCTAAATACTGTTCACATATATGCTTCAATGTAAACACCTGATCTACACATCCCCTACCCACTCTGAAACCTCCTTGCTCATCCGCAATCCTACATTCTGTCTTACCTCTAATTCTTTCAATTATAACCCTACCGTACACTTTTCCTGGTATACTCAGTAAGCTTATTCCTCTATAATTTTTACAGTCTCTTTTGTCCCCTTTCCCTTTATATAAAGGGACTATACATGCTCTTCGCCAATCCCTAGGTACCTTCCTCTCTTTCATACATTTATTAAACAAAAATACCAACCACTCCAACACTATATCCCCCCCTGCTTTTAACATTTCTGTCATGATCCCATCAGTTCCAGCTGCTTTACCCCCTTTCATTTTACGTAATGCCTCACGTACCTCCCCCACACTTACATTCTGCTCTTCTTCACTCCTAAAAGATGGTATACCTCCCTGACCAGTGCATGAAATTACTGCCTCTGTTTCTTCCTTAACATTTAAAAGTTCCTCAAAATATTCTCTCCATCTACCCAATACCTCCATCTCCCCATCTACTAACTCCCCTACTCTGTTTTTAACTGACAAATCCATATTTTCCCTAGGCTTTCTTAACTTGTTTAACTCACTCCAAAATTTTTTCTTATTTTCATTAAAATTTCTTGACAGTGCCTCTCCCACTCTATCATCTGCTCTCCTTTTGCACTCTCTCACCACTCTCTTTACCTTTCTTTTACTCTCCATATACTCTGCTCTTCTTGTAACACTTCTGCTTTATAAAAACTTCTCATAAGCTACCTTTTTCTCTTTTATCACACCCTTTACTTCATCATTCCACCAATCACTCCTCTTTCCTCCTGCCCCCACCCTCCTATAACCACAAACTTCTGCCCCACATTCTAATACTGCATTTTTAAAACTATTCCAACCCTCTTGAACCCCCCCCCTTCCCCCCACTACTCATCTTTGCACTAGCCCACCTTTCTGCCAACAGTCGCTTATATCTCACCCGAACTTCCTCCTCCCTTAGTTTATACACTTTCACCTCCCTCTTACTTGTTGTTGCCACCTTCCTCTTTTCCCATCTACCTCTTACTCTAACTGTAGCTACAACTAAATAATGATCCGATATATCAGTTGCCCCTCTATAAACATGTACATCCTGGAGCCTACCCATCAACCTTTTATCCACCAATACATAATCTAATAAACTACTTTCATTACGTGCTACATCATACCTTGTATATTTATTTATCCTCTTTTTCATAAAATATGTATTACTTATTACCAAATTTCTTTCTACACATAGCTCAATTAAAGGCTCACCATTTACATTTACCCCTGGCACCCCAAATTTACCTACTACTCCCTCCATAACATTTTTACCCACTTTAGCATTGAAATCCCCAACCACCATTACTCTCACACTTGATTCAAAACTCCCCACGCATTCACTCAACATTTCCCAAAATCTCTCTCTCTCCTCTACACTTCTCTCTTCTCCAGGTGCATACACGCTTATTATAACCCACTTTTCACATCCAATCTTTATTTTACTCCACATAATCCTTGAATTAATACATTTATAGTCCCTCTTTTCCTGCCATAGCTTATCCTTCAACATTATTGCTACTCCTTCTTTAGCTCTAACTCTATTTGAAACCCCTGACCTAATCCCATTTATTCCTCTCCACTGAAACTCTCCCACCCCCTTCAGCTTTGTTTCACTTAAAGCCAGGACATCCAGCTTCTTCTCATTCATAACATCCACAATCATCTCTTCTTATCATCTGCACAACATCCACGCACATTCAGACTTCCCACTTTGACAATTTTCTTCTTCTTATTCTTTTTAGTAATCTTTACAGGAAAAGGGGTTACTAGCCCATTGTTCCCGGCATTTTAGTTGACTTTTACAACACGCATGGCTTACGGAGGAAAGATTCTTATTCCACTTCCCCATGGATATAAAAGGAAAATTAATAAGACCAAGAACTATTAAGATAAAATCAAAGAAAACTCAGATGAGTGTGTATAAATAAATGTGTACATGTATGTGTAGTGTGACCTAAGTGTCAGTAGAAGTAGCAAGACATGCCTGTAATCTTGCATATTTATGAGACAGACAAAAGACATCAGCAATCCTAACCATCATGTAAAACAATCACAGGCTTTCGTTTTACACTCACTTGGCAGGACGGTAGTACCTCCCTGGGTGGTTGCTGTCTACCAACCTACTACATATATATATATATATATAATATATATATATATATATATATATATATATATATATATATATATAATATATATATATATATACATATACATACATACATACATACATACATACATACATACATACATACATACATACATACATAGACACATACATACATACACCTACCTACCATCCGACTTACGACCGAGTTCGGTTCCGAGAAACTGGTCGTAAGTCGAAATGGTCGAAAGTCTAACTTTTCTACTGAATATCAACAAAACATTTTTGAAATGACTTTATTTTATTGTTTTATTTTGGTATTTCATGTTTTACTTTACTTTTTATGTTGTTAGTACTGTATTTTATACTGTAAGGTTTAGGATAAACACTGTGTACAACATAAATAGTTGTTTATTTCCCTGAAATTTGGCATAAAAAACACGGTCGTAAGTTGAGTGGTCGTAAGTCGAGCAGGTCGTAAGTCGGATGGTAGGTGTGTATATATATTCTAGGTAGTAGGTTGGTAGACAGCAACCACCCAGGGAGGTACTACCGTCCTGCCAAGTGAGTGTAAAACTGAAGCCTGTAATTGTTTTAAATGATGGTAGGATTGCTGGTGTCTTTTGTCTGTCTCATAAACATGCAAGATTTCAGTTATGTCTTGCTACTTCTACTTACACTTAGGTCACACTATACATACATGTACAAGCATATATATACACACCCCTGATAATAAAATATAACCAGGAATGATTGGTCATGATTTATGGCATCCAGATAATTGAATCAGACCTATTAAAAATCCATAAAACAGACCTGGGAATGAAGGGGGGGGATACCTATCTTCAGGAAAATCAGTAAAAGTCTGACATTTCTGCTATTTTGAGCCCAATTTCAGGCTACTTTTGTTTCAGTGTATGTCTTCCGTTTTATCAAATGACATGAAGAAGCAGCCAATAAAACCATAAAAACCTTCCTAGAAAACACCTCAGAGTTGCTGTTTTGAACCATAAATATGGTCAGTTTTGTTTTTCCCATCATGCATTGCATGGGGCAAGATTTTTTTTTATATTGTACATACTCACTGCACAGATGCATTCTCTCATTTCTAAGCCAAAATTTACTGCTCCTAGCTTATCTGTGTGAGCTGAGCTCATGACGTAGAACTGTGTGACAGACCCTGGCCTCAGTAATGTAGTTCTACATGACAGCTACTGAAAGTGTTAAGGAAATACTGATGATCAAATAGGTGCTTACCAGAAATACAGGATTTATAAATGTATTGATTTATTCAAAGAATTTTCTTTGAAGGTAGTCATTTAAGCATCATCTATGAAACAAAGCTATTGGAAATGGTATGTATTATTTATAATTTTTGTTTGCAAAATAGTCGGAGGTAGAAGGCTTGGCTCACAACCAGAAAGTTTAATCCTGTTTAAAGTGAGATATATGAACAAGATTCCTAACATCTGCTGTTCCCTATTTAATTAGCAAAAAATAAATAACTAGAATTTAGTCAGCTGTTATGAGTCATATCCTCTGGAAGGACTAAAGGACAAGAATAGCATTGAGCCCCGCTGCTTTCTTTCTTGGGTTATCTTGGTTATCTACAATTGTTAGCCCACAAGGGTTAATAATCTGAATAGTCTTCATCTTCTTAGTTCTGTAAGTTGCCCACCTTAACCAAAATACAAGCTAATAAAATTTATTACAGGTATCAACCGATAGATGTATTCAAGACACTTATTACCAAGCTTGCACCAGAAGTGTTTAAATGTATGCATACTGGCTGTATATATGCTGATGATGACCCTGAAATGTTTCTTCAGCATATCTCATTTCATGGAGAGAGCTATAGGTGAGTAATAATAGGCTTCTTGTATTGGACATTCAGATAATTTATCCTTTATGGAATGTGATGGTACTGCTTAAGATAAAGTGGTCCAACACTTATATGGGGTATTATTTTTGAATGTTGCAGTGTTGCGTCACTTGCATGAGACTCAAGGGGTATTTGTTATTCTATGAATATGTTTTTATTTTCACTTAAATATTATATAGTCTATATCTTCATTAACCCTTAAACTGTCCAAACATAGATCTACATTGACGTGCGTAATGCTCTGAATGTAGATCTACGTCCAATTTTACATGCTTTCAAATGGAAAAAATGAAGGTCAGAGCACTACGCACGTCAACGTAGATCTACATTTGGACAGTTTAAGGGTTAATGGCTAAAATGAAGGTATCTTGCTCTATACTATTATCTGACCTTATATTATTAAGCTATGTATATAGGTAGGATGATGTTGAAGGATAAGATATGGAAGGAAAAGAGGGACTATAAATGTATTAATTCAAGGATTATGTGGAGTAAAATAAAAGTTGGATGTGAAAAGTGGGTTATAGTAAGCGTATATGCACCTGGAGACGAGAGAAGTGTAGAGGAGAGAGAGAGATTTTGGGAAATATTGAGTGAATGCATGGGGAGTTTTGAACCAAGTGTGAGAGTACTTGTGGTTGGGGATTTTAATGCTAAAGTGGGCAAAAATGTTGTGGAGGGGAGTAGTAGGTAAATTTGGGGTGCCAGGGGTAAATGAAAATGGGGAGCCTTTAACTGAGCTATGTGTAGAAAGAGGTTTGGTAATAAGTAATACATATTTTATGAAGAGGATAAATAAATACACAAGGTATGATATAGCACGTAATGAAAGTAGTTTGTTAGATTATGTATTGGTGGATAAAAGGTAGATGGGTAGGTTCCAGGATGTATACGTTTACAGAGAGGCAACTGATATATCGGATCATTATTTAGTTTTAGCTACAGTTAGAGTAAGAGGTAGATGGGACAAGAGGAAAATGGCAACAACACGCAAGAGGGAGGTAAAAGTGTATAAACTAAGGGAGGAGGAAGTTTGGGTGAGATATGAGCAACTATTGTTTCTCACAATTATATCACATAAATGTTAAACCTAAAACCCAATCTAACTTTACTATTTTTTTAAATAAACTACCTAACAGAATTCTCCTTACGACTGAATGTACAACAATGCATGCAACCATATGACCTGTCTTTGTAATACTCACTTGTGCTTTATAGTAATCTGTTTACATTAATGTTTTATCACTGATTTCATCATTGCTTAGTTAATCTTAAGTTAATTTTAAGCCAGCCCGTAATGCTATGCATAGTATAAGTGGCTTTGGCATGCTGCTCTTATCTGTATTTTTTTTGTACCTCTGTATGTGTGCTCAAATTGTAATAAATAAATAAATAAAATAAATAAATAAATAAAATAAATAAATAAATAAATAAAGGTGGGCTGTTGGGGTGGAAGATAGGAGGAGAGAGTGGTTGTTCCAAGTTTGGTCAGAGGGAGGGGGTAAAAGTAGCTTTGAGTTGTAGGGGGCTTAACCCGTAAACAGTCCAAGTAGATCTACGTTTATATGCGTAGTGCTCCAAAAGTAGATTACGTTTTTTTTTTTACATATTTTCAAATATAACAAAAAAAAAAACTTAGATCAAAGTTTTTTACACATTTCAAATGTAAAAAAAAAAAATCTACTTTTTTACATACTTTCACATGTTGAAAAAACATACAGGAGGGCCCCGCTTTACGGCGTTTCACTTTACGGCGTTCCGCTAATACGGTCATTTCAAATTATGACCAAAACTCGCTATACGGCTCCCCCCACCTGACTTTCTAATACGGTCACCGCACCCCGCCCTGTTTGTTTACATTCTTCGTGAGCTCAGTAAGCACTAAGTCTCTCCATTTTGTCTGGAAACTCCAAAATTTCAAATGTTTTTAAAAGTTATTTCATATTTTGTATATACTCTGATAATTATACTTATGTATACCTGTACTTAAATAACCTTACATACTGTGCTGGCATGCAGGTACACATTAAAATCAGTAAGAGTGTCTTATGTCTCCAGACGTCATATTAGTAATGATTATAATAATCATCGAGTCTCATTTAAATGTCGTATATTACGTTAAATACACATTTTCATTAATCCATCTATGATATTTTTTCAAAATTATATAATAAACACGATACATAACATAAAAAGATGATAAATACACCCCACAATAGAATAAATAAACATAAATATGAGATGTGGTAGCAGACGACTTGCACAAGTGACGCCATATTAGAAATGCTAATAATAATAATAATAATAATAATAATCACCGAGTCTCATTAAATGTTGTATATTACGTTAATATACACATTTTCATTAATCCATCCATTATATTTTTTTCAAAATTATATAATAAACACGATACATAACATAAAAAGATGATAAATACACCCCACAATAGAATAAATAAACATAAATATGAGATGTGGTAGCCAGATAACTTGTACAAGTGATGCCAAGAATAACGTTTTCTCTAATCTAACATAAGAGAAAATGTGTTACTGGGAGTAACTGTAGAAAATTATTCCTTTCGTATGTATGTAAGTAAGTTTATTCAGGTATACACAAATACAGTTACATAGATTATCATACATAACAACATATGTGTAGAGAACCTAGGATTACCCATAAAAGTCAGAGTGACTTATTTCCATTGCCTTCACTCAGAGCATCATTTCTTCTCAAAATGATGTTACATGAGAATGGGAGTGTTCTTCTTTATTTATTCTACCGTATCAATGTAGAGACAACCTGTACACAATGTAACTTGTACACAAACGAGACGTGTACACTTTGTTTACAAAACTTACCTTCGCCTGGTTTGTTTACATAACTCTGCGCCTGTACTCTCTCATGCATTCATTCTTTCTCTCTCTCATTTATTCGTTTTATCTCATTTACTTACTCCTGACCCTACATTAAAACTACAAATATTTTAAGGTAAGTAATGAGTGAACTGTATATACATTTTATCGCTCTGGGATGCTTAAATGTAATAGAATATTATGTGTAGGTGGGTTGGCCTGGTATGGTAGCCCGGCTGACTACCATACATACCACACTTGATTTTTTACAATAAATACTACTCATCTCACCCTATATTTTAAGGTAAGTAATGAGTGAACTGTATATACATTTTATCGCTCTGGGATGCTTAAATATCATAGAATTGTGTGTGTGGGTGGGGTGGCCTGGTATGGTAGCCTGGCTGACTACCATACATACCACACTTGATTTCTTACAATAAATACTACTTGTCTCACCCTAGATTAAGACTATAAATATTTTTAGGTAAGTAATGAGTGCACTATGTGTGTATTGTACTTTTTTATTGTTTTTTGATGCCTGGTTCTATTGCTAACTTAATATATGTTAGTGTAAACTTGTTATCTAGTGTTTGTATGCATTTGTAAGTGGAAAAAAAGGGTGTTCCACTTTACGGCGGTTTCCGCTTTACGGCGGTAGCCTGGAACCTAACCAGCCGTATAAGTGGGGCCCTCCTGTATGTATACGTTTGGACCATTTACGGGTTAAGCATCCAGTAGGCTTGTGTGAGGATATTGGATAGGAGTGAATGGAGACGTGCTGTTGGAGTGTGAAAAGGGTAACTTTTTATGAAGGGATTCAGGGGAAAGTGATTAGCTGGACATGAGTCTAGCAGATGGTACAGGGAGTGCCTATTTTGAAGGAGGGATAAGGATGTTGCAGTCATAAGGTAATCTGATTGTGATGCTTGCACACTTCTGGAGAGTCAACAATTGAATGAATGATGGTGAATGTGTTTTCTTAGAGTCAACCTGCCTTGTCAGGAGATGGCTATTGAGTTAAAAAAACAAACAGTAATATTAATAAAAATAATAATAATAATTTTTAAAAGTTGCACAAGTCTAATAAGGATTAATTAACTATGTATTTCCCCCTTTAAAAAAAAATATAGATAACATTTTGCACTAACGTAAAGTAGAACTAAAACTAAAATAGTGAACATGACTCAAGAAATCGTAATGACACGATTGCAAATAAACCATACCCCCGGCCGGGATTGGCTAACGCGACGGGCTGGAGTTTTGAGACTCTATGACCGCGGGTTCAATCCCGGCCGGGGGTATGGTTTAAAATAGTGAAGTTGTATTTTTTGAAATTTAAAGAATTTATATTTTCTATCATATATCATGCATTAAAATCTATTACAGTACTGCAAAATCTCTCGTAACATGATGATGTTACATTTCTGGAAATTGGTGCATTATGAATAATAGCTTAATGTGATGTGAATAACACATTAATAAAATGGGGTTATATTCCAGACACCTCCAAATTAGCCAGTCTTTTTTTTATATTCTGCTAGGTAAAAGTTACTACAGTAATGTAAAACTTATCTCACATTCTGGTAGTTGTTAACTGAAGCATTTGATGATTTGGGAGAGCTAATGTGGGCTGCTGGGCCAAGTGAGGTTTATCAAGTAACACTGCTGGGCCATAGTGAGGTTTATCAGGTACTACTGTACAAGTTAGCAATGTAAAAATAAAAGCCATAGATGGTAAGTTCCATGTTGAAACTTAATCCAGCTATACTAAGCAAATATATACCAAAGATAAATACATTTAATAAATCCAAAGAAAAGAAAGAAAAAAAAAATACAAAATGTTGGAAGCAGCATCAACTGGGCCTCTGAACATATCAAGAGATTAGGATGACCAAAATGTTTAGTCCAGAAAGGAGGAAAAGGATTCCTCTGAAGAATGGTTGGAGGGAATAGATAAAGGAGGTTCTGAGTGGTAAAATTAAATATCCAAACTGTATGCCAGTGATGAGAGTCGCACCTCTCACCACTGGTATCTGGGGTACTTGAACTATACAAACTACTAAAAAAAAAATGTTTTTTCTTCAAAAATTAATTAAGAGTAGGTAGATGTGTTGTGTAGGGGCTTGAGCATACAGGAGGCGTGTATGAGCATGCTAGATTGGGGTGACTGGAAACAAGTGGTTTTTATGGCTTGATGTGTTGTTGGAGTGCAAGCAAAGTGACATTTATGATGAAGGTATTCAGGGAAACCAATTAGCTGAGACTCCTGGAGGTGGGAGGTAATGTGCCTGCTCTCTGAATTAGGGGTGTGTGATGTCTCTGAGCTTCTGGAAAGAAAGCTGTTAATGAATGATGATAAATGTTTTATTTGGATTATTGTACCTTGGTGGAAGATGGCCAGTGTGGTTAAAGAAAAAATAATCTCTTTGGGATGATTATCGTATTTCTTTATACGAAAGTCGAGAGCTGTACAGGATAAGTGAAAGTAACAAGAGTCAAGTCAAAGTTATAAGCTACAATGGAACCTCGGTTTTCGTATGCCCTAGTTTGTATGTAAAACTATAGCTATTCTCTGTAAAATGTATTTTTTGTTAATATTTCCCGTAAGAAATAATGTAAACCCAAATAATCCATTCCAGACACCCAAAAATATTAACAGAAAATGAATATTATAGAGAATAACTATAGTTTTACATATAAACTAGGGCATGCGAAAACCGAGGTTCCATTGTATTTATTATCTTGTTTATTGAGTTGTGAATATTATGCAGAGAATTCGTAGCTTGGAGGTTAGAAGAAGGTATGGGATTACTAAAAGTATTATCCAGAGGGCTGAAGCGGGGTTGTTAAGATGGTTTGGGCATTAGATGGAACAAAATAGGATGACTTGGAGAGCATATAAATCTGTAGTGGAGGGATGGCAGGATTGGGGGTCGTCCAAGGAAAGGTTGGATGGAGGGGGTAAAGGAAATTTTGTGTACGAGGGGCTTAAACTTCCAGCAAGCATTCATGAGTGTGTTAGATATGAGTAAGTGGAGGCAAATGGTTTTATGACTGGATGTGCTGTTGGAGTGTGAGCAAAGGAACATTTATGAAGGCATTGAGGGAAACTGGTAGGCTGGACTTGAGTCCTGGAGAGAGGTACAGTGCCTGCACTCTGAAGGAGAGGTGGGAAAATTTGCAGTTTTGAACCGTAGTAGCAGCGCCCCTCTGGCAGTACAGTGATGGTGAAACTGTTTCATCTTTTTTGGGCCGCTCTGCCTCGGTGGGAAATGGCTGGTGTGTGAAAAAAATATATGTATTATAATTTACAGATATTATACAATGGATTTTCCTTACAGATGCTGCTACTGCTTAATGGTAATGCCAGCTCCAGAAGCATTAGTGCAACATATTATTACAGAACACAGCCATTGCCAGTTCCAGTGCAAATACTGCCTTTATAGAGCCTATACCAAAATTTACATGGGTGTGCATTTGGTAAGGCAGTTAGTTCTTTCATTGTTTAATGTAATAAGTAATAAGTGTGAATCACATCTTAGTACAGTAAATATAATATCTTTTTGATACAAATTTTAAGTTAAAGGCAAAATATTATTGCATTCTATTTTTGTATTTCTTACTTTAAACTGTCTATTTATAAGCATCCAATAAATATTGTTTTAGTTTTATCTCTAGACTAAACATGAGCAAGCTATGAAAGTGTTTGGAAGTTTTTTATGCTTTATATATAATATGTTTACAATTATTATTATTTTTATTATTATTATTATTATTATTATTATTATTATTATTATTATTATTATTGGCAAATAAAGATATAGAATCAGTAATTTTTCCAGAAAAATTTTCATCCATATGAAGAGCCACGGTACATTAAAGTTGGAACTATCCAGCCACATCATCCTCCTAATCCTCCAATCGATCAATTTGTTCGACCATACAGGTGCAACTATAGTAAGTTTTATTATTTTCTGATATTCTTATATAATATTTGTATGTACTTTTTATTCAGAATGCATCTATAATTTCTGCAGTTGGATCCTGGGAGCATACCTAGAATATGCCACTCTTAATCCCTACCTAATACCTGCCTCTCTTATTACTATGTGATGTTGGACATCACACTTGCTAGGGGCATTCAATTCAGGCAGGTAGCTTGCCCTTTAAACAGGAGTGCTGCCTCCTTCCAAGCAGACAGTGAGGGGTGTGCTGGTTGTCCAATAGGTGCTCATCTTATCATGCTGTCCTTAGTTTTGGGCATCCAGGCAATGCATGACAATTCAGTTGCATCTGGAGAGTGCTCTGGCAGCATCCAGGGCACAGTTATGGTGCACCTGTTCATCACTTCACTTGTAAGATAATCATTAGTACTTGACTATTTGTACTCTCCCATTTATTTTTGCAGGGATTGAGTTTCAGTTCCTGGCCCTGCCCTCAGGTTACCATTTGCTAGTTTTGTTCCCTCCTAGTCTTCTGGGCCTTGTCATACCTGCTCTTAAAACCATGTATAAAGCCTGCTTCCACCACTTCTTCACAGAGATTATTTCATTTGACAACCAGTCTGAGACTGAAGAAATGCTTCCTGACATATCTGTGGCTCATCTCTTCAGTGCTCCTGTTCTGTCCCCAAATTTCTTCATAGCTTATCATCAGTTTTTTTAAGAGTTCACCAGGACTCGCCTTGTACCTTTACAGTGGTTCCGTCAAGGAATCGCCCACCCCTCTCACTCGGGTGAGGCTCCTGGGAGCTGCTTCACCTGAGCTCTCTGGGGTCCTTTGTCTGGCAGGCCTGACAAATTGTAGAGGTTCCCTTTTTGAAGAAGTACTTCATCATTTTATCTCATGACTCTGAGCTCTGCTCAAAGTCAGTAGTAATGACTCGCAAGTGAATGGCTGCTTAGCCTGGGAAGACTCAACGTTTACTGCCCTCTGCTTGTGGAGTCAGGGTCCTCCCTTCCACCAGACAAACATTTGTTCCCATGCCTCTGGTCCCCTACTTTGCTGGTCTTCCAGCAAGTTTCCCTGGCTTTTGTCCAGCACTGCGGGTGTTATACCTTGCAGCCCTTTCCCTGACTCTTGCATGGGAGCTTCAGATCTGGTTGCTGTGTAGATTGCCATCTGATGCTTGGACACGAAGCTCATCCTTAATTGCAGTTTTCATGTGGGCTTCATTGGCTGTTCTGCCAATGAAGCTCACATCATAGATTTTTATTTTGGGTCTTCAGTCTGTTCACTTTCTGCTCCAGTTTCTCGAGTGCCATGGACTCTTCTGCATCTTCTGTGGTCTTTGCCACATCCTTTTCTCAGGCTGTGGTCCCTGCTTTTCCTATGGCATCCCACTGTTTTCCAGGCTTTGGAGTTTTTGTTACCAAACTCACACATCTTGCTCACAGGTTCTTCAGTCTACCCTGCAGCTGGAGGGCTTCATCTGCTAGGAGACCAAGTCTGTGGCTCTGTATCATCATTCATCAACACATATGCATTATGAATATGTCTGGAAGAACTTCATACGTGACTGCTGCCTTCAAGTCCCCTTTATGACCTTAGCAGTGGTTTTCATGTGCCTTCTCTAGATATCCTAATACAGTGGGACTGCCCATGCTCTCCAGATCTGAGAGTTTGCTCTGGATAGGTTGTTAACATCTCTTCTATGCTGGCCTCATAAAACACATGGTTGAAGCTCATCCTGGAGAGGTCCATGCACATGATACTCGATTACTTTGTGGCCCATCCAGTCTTGCACTTTCTCATGAGTTCTTCTTAGGTTCTTGGCTTGGCATGCTTCAAAGGACTGATACTTTGACGGAATTCTTTAATGTGGGTTCCAGTATCATCACAAACCCACTTCAGTTGGATGTCCTCCTCACAAAGAGGCAAATGCACACCTTAGTTTTCCTGTTGACACTATGGTTCATGGCATTCTAAGTGGCTCCATCCTCTAACCAGTGGGGGCCCTTTATGCCTACTTGATCCTTTCAACAGCCTGTTGGAAGGACTCTATTTCTCTGTCTAACCTCTTCATCAACCAGTCCTCACAGCAAACACTTACCTACTCTCTGTGTGGGTACCCACACTTGTGAATGCCTTTACCTATGACACAATGTGCATTGTGGTCTCATTTGCCTTGACAGCTCAGGCTCCTTTGTCACTGATCATTGAAGGCATGCAGTTCACCAGCTGGAGGATATTCCTAAGGCACTTTGCACACCATACTCCTCTCGTTTCAGGGGGTCTCCTTCCCTAACTTTTGCAGATTATGTGAGGTGAGCTCTCTCAGTTCCTGGTATTTCTGCATCTTGCAGTGGATACTCTTTTGTTGAAGTTTGTTTTATACACCTTGATTAGCTGGCCATTCATTGTGTGTGTTTAGGAGAGTTCTGGTGTTTGCATATGAATGCATCTTTGGCCTTGCAGAGTGCCATTACTAATGAAAAGAGTACTATGGTCCAGTGCAGAATTTGCTCAGGACTGAGTACAGAAAATGTCTCACTTAGTGATTTCATGCATAATCTCTATGTTTGCCCCTCATGTTTCCAGGCTCCAATCATTTGGATTGGCTTCCTGGTGTTCTGCCTCCACTCTACAGTTGCTGTCTCCATTTCTAGATACAGGTACTACACAAGTTCAATTCCAAATAGGTCCCCCAGAGCCCAACAGCAGAAAAAACATTTTGTTTCTTAGAAAGTTTAGTTTCTGTGTAAAGTCTTTCCACCACCTCCCCAGCATGGGTGTTTCTGGTTGCCATCGGGCTTGTGTGGAGTGTGCAAGCTCCAGGAGGCACCTTAGCATTTCTACAAAGGGCAGTTGGAGTGAAGGAGACTGAACTAAGCACAGTTCTGGGATTGAGATAGGTATAGGCAGAGAATAAATGTGGTCTATACAGGCTGCCCAGGGCCCCTAATGCAGACATGCATCTTTTATTGGGTTAGAAGGCAGTTTTATATTTTATGGATATACAGCCTCTCCTCACTTAGCGACGTACTTGTTTACCGAGGCCTCGGACTTACAACAGGCTCTCTGACCAGTATGCATACCTAAATAATGTATTTTAGAGCTGATTTCCTTTATTCTGTTTATTTCAGTATACAGTACACTACTGTATAAACATTTAAAAATATACCAGAAATGTTATAAATGGTGAAAAGGTAACATTAAAGCAATCAAAGATGGTTGACACAAACCCACGATCATTATAGTATGCTCCTTACTTATCTATGAATTCGTTTAATGACGTGGTCTTAGGAACGTGGTCTCTTCACTTAACGGAACTCCATCGTTAAGTGAGGAGAGGCTGTACTGTGTTTACCTCTACAGCACTTTATTGAGTTTCGTGGAACAAGTATGTGTACATGCTCTGCATTAATGTAAACATTTTTTAACTTAAAAGCATTTTTCATTAATGTTAGTGTAACATTTTCCATGAGAAGACCATTGGTGTTCCTTTTCAATCCTCCCACCCCCACAAAAGTTAAGATCTAATTTGATATGGTATTTTTTGGACTCTTAGCAAAAAATATTTTCCACATAATTTCAGTATTAAATGCTCTACAGGTTGAGTATCCCTTATCCGAAATTTCAAAATTAAAAAGAACTCCAAAATCCAAATCTTTTTTTGAGCTCCGACATGCCACAAATGGAAAATGCCATTAAGCTGTGGAGAGGTTCCCAAGTATGGCTCGGGTCTCTGTGCACCCAGATGGTTGTGACACATGACCTCACCCAGGGTGGGGCTCTAGAGACACTCTTGGGACCAGTTTGTTATCAGTAGTCAACACTGCCAGACCTATGTACATTATTCAGTGTGATTTCCCTGCTTTTTGTGTTTATTCTTTACTCCATGGTGCAAAGATATTGTTGAAAAATGCCAAAAAGGTTTGCAGATAACCCTTTGGATAATAGTAATAAGACAAAATAGTGTACAGTAGCCTTCTAATCAGAACTTGGCATCATAGATGTAGACAAAGCCAGCCATTGTTTGTTATTGTTTTTTAGCCATTGATGCAGGTATTCTACTGATGCTGCTGTAATGCTTTTGTTAAAAATACAGTATTGCTTTTGTTAAAAATATTGTATAAAACTACCTTCAGGCTATGAAATAGAAATGAATTTCGTGTTTTGATTTGGGTCCCATCCCCAAACTATCTCATTAACCCTTAAACTGTCCAAACGTAGAGTTACGTTCACATGCGTAGCGCTCCAATCGTAGATCTACGTTTTATTTTACATGCTTTCAACTTTGGCATGATAAGCCTGAGTTGCCCAGGCATGAGAGAATGAGTCTGTGCACTCAGTGTATGCAGTATGACAAAGTTCGGGGATGCCGAGAATAATGCAATCTTCATGGTATGCACGTGAACATTGATCTACGTTTGGACAGTTTAAGGGTTAAATTCCAAAATCTGAGACATTTCTAGCCCCAAGCATTTTGGGTAAGGGATACTCAACCTGTGCTACTATGTGCTGCTTTCCTAGCCTTTTCTAATATATGCTAGTGACATTTTTGTGGTTCAAGAGTATTTAGTATATACAGTAGGGCTCCACTTTACAGCGTTTCGCCTTACAGCATTCAGTTAATACAGACATTTCAAATTATGACCAAAGCTCGCTATACATCTCCACTACCTGACTTTCTAATGCGGTCACTGCGCCCCACCCTTGTCGGAGCATCGGAAAGAATGTTTTCTCTAGTTCAACACCAGAGAAAATGTGTACACAATAGTATTACTGGGGGTAATTGTAGAAAATTATTCCTTTTGTATGCCTTCACTCAGAGTGTCATTCCTTCTAAAAATGGTGTTATATGAGAATGGGAGTGTTGCTCTTTATTTATTCTACTATACCAACATGTACACAATATAAGGTATTTGTATTACGGTATAAGCTTCACAGATGGAAATGAATGTGTATGAACCAAAACCAGATGCGTTTGTCAGCTTGTTTACATAATCTCCGTCTCTCTCCTCTCTCATTTACTTATTCTCTCTCTCATTTATTCATTTTACTTCATTTATTCACCCCTCATTGTACATTAAGACTGCAAATATTTTAAGGTAAATAATGAGTGTACTTTGTGTATATTTTACTTTTTATTGTTTTTAATGCCTAGTGCTATCTGGCATTTATAAGTGGAAAAAGTGGTGTTCTGCTTTCCGGCAATGTCCGCTTTCTGGCTGTAGCTTGGAGTCTAACCTGCTGTATAAATGGGGTCCTGCTGTACTTATTTTAATTCATTAGTTATGCTCTAAGAAATGGGAATTTGAGAAAGTGTAAATATCCTAGGTATAGTTAAGAAGCCCCATCTTGAGTGCCATGGATAACATGCCAAATAATTTGAGGAGTAGGTAGAAAAGATAGCAAGGTTATGTTTGGTGTGCTGTACTGTAATAAAGAAATGGTTAAGGAAGAATTATAAAAAGATTAAAATGTTTTGAATAATTTTGGGCAAATTCCATTTTTCTTAACAAATTTATCTGTATACAGGGGAGTGCCAGTACCGTACAGTGGATGCTGAAGCCTTCAAGACTCATGTTACCACACATGGTCAGTTTGTTATCCTCAGCTGTGACTTCTGCCATGTGTATCTACATGTCATCCCTCTTATTGATGTGAGTTATGGTTTATTTTTTATACAGTAGTCCTTTTTTTTTTCTTTCTTTTGTAACTTTATATGGAAGTTGGCTGATGCAAGCTTTGAGTAAAGAATACTGCTAAACCTCTGATTCATGGAATGATGATGAACAAGAGGAAACATAATCACATCAGACAAAGTAGTCTTCTGCACAGATAGGATTTACTGAGATAAATATATTTTACCAGGAAAATCAGTAAAACAAGAGAAGGTGGATGAAAACATAACATGTAAATCAGCCACAGGAATCTTAAAAAAATTCTTCGTTAATATAAGTATGATAAATTGAATGAATTGAGTTGCAAAACAGTTCAGGCCGACTCCATGCAAGTATTCAAAAGCAGATTAAAACAAAGCTACTTTTATAAGCTATCTCAGGGCACAGAATCTGTAGCCAGGAATTCCTTAACCCTTTGGGGGTTTCGGACGTACTAGTACGTCTTACGACCCAGGGTTTTTGATGTATGTACTAGTACGCCTAAATTCTAGTGCCCTCAAATCTAGTGGGAGAAAGCTGGTAGGTCTACATATGTAAGAATAGGTCTATGTGGTCAGTGTGCGCAGTATAAAAAAAATCCTGCAGCACACAGTGCGTAATGAGAAAAAAAAAAACTTTGACCGTGTTTTTGGATTAAAACTGATTTTGCACTGCATTTTCGTATGGTATTTATTGTTGTATTCTAGTTTTCTTGATCTCATTTTATAGAACAGAAGATATATTACAGAAATTGAGATGATTTTGACTGGTTTTACAATGAAAAGTACCTTGAAATTGAGCTCAAAGTAGCAGAAATGTTCAATTTTTACCAAAGTTCAAAAGTAAACAAATTATGCCAAGCTTCCAATACACATCAACTGGTGAGTCTAATATTCTTTCACAAGTGCGCTGATATTATTTATACCATTTCTACACTAATGCAATAGTCTGCATAACAGTAAATCTTATTTTTTTTGTAAGAATAAAAATTCAAAGTGGAAAGCCAAAGAAATATAAGAGGGGCCTGGGGATGTGGCTGACGAACAGAGAACTTGTTATTTTAGTGCCAGGAATGTCTTTCTTGTTTATTCTGGACCCTATTCGGAAATTGGCATCTTTTGAAATTTGTGTGAAATTGGCAAAATTGCTAAATTCTGACCACTTTATTGGATAGTTGAAATCAGTAAATGGGTGGTTTCTTGTACTCATTCGATAGAAAAAATGAAGTTTTAGTGAAATAGTTATGATTTTTGTCGGCTAGTACACAGGAATTGGCTGAAAATAGGGCTCAAAGTGGGCAAAATTGCTGATGCTTGAACATCATCGAGACCGCTAGCTTCACGAGAGCATAATTCCGTAAGTTTTCCATCAAATTTCATACTTTTGGTGTCATTATGATCGGGAAAAGATTCTCTATCTTTTCATAAGTTTTTTTTTTTTTTTTTTTTTTTTTTTTTTTTTTTTTTTTTTTTTTTTTTAAATTTGGCCGACCCTGAGAACAAGTCTCTGAGAGGACCTGTCAACCCCCAAAGGGTTAAGGAAGTATGTTAATACTTATCACAAGTTTTTATAAAACCAAAACTTTCCCAACATATCATTAAGGGATGTAGAGAAAGGGTAACATGGATCTGTTAACTCCTTAACTGTCCAAATGTAGATCTATGTTCCCTCTCCCAACGCTCTGAATATTTTGATAAAAAAAAAATAATTTTTTTTTTAAATTAAGAAGGGTAATTTTCTGTGTGTAATAAGACCAAAAAAAAAAATTAGGGTCAGTACTTACTGAGATGCTGCAAATTTGGTGCTGGATGCTCACCTGACAGCAGCATGGAGTCCTGCCGCTTGTAGAAGTGCTGCCAATACACCATTTTTTCTCTCTTTTTTTTTAATTTATATAATTTTTATGTTCTGATAATTGCAATTTGTAGTAGTTCTTGTGATTTCATAGCCAATGTTTGTTTTGACATTAATATTAGGTACCGAAATAGTACTCAAATAGTCACAAATGCACTGACAGGTGAACATTTTCAACTGCCTTGGTCACATAATAGAATGTGGGGCAGAAATTAGTGGCTATAGGAGGGTGGGTGCAGGAGGAAAAAAGAGTGACTGGTAGAATGATGAAGTAAAGGGTGTGATAAAAGAGAAAAAGGTAGCTTATGAGAGTTTTTTTTACAAAGCAGAAGTGTTATAAGAAGAGTAGAGTGCAGTGGTACCTCAAGTTACGAACTTAATTTGTTCGAGAAGGCTGTTCGAGTGCCAATACCGAACAAATTTGTTCCCATAAGGAATAATGTGAATTAGATTAGTCCGTTTCAGACCCCCAAAAATACACTTAAAAAGTACTTACAAAAATACACAATGCCTCGGTGGGAGACGACCGACTTGTTGAAAAAAAAAAAAATAATTGTTCAAGTTGGGAGCTGTTCGAAACTCGAGGTACTGTATATGGAGAGTAAAAGAAAGGTGAAGAAAGTGGTGAAAGAATGCAAAAGGAGATGCACTGTCAAGAAATTTTGCAGAAAATAAGAAAAATTTTGGAGTGAGATAAACAAGCTAAGAAGGCGAAGGGAACGAATGGATTTGCCAGTTAAAAACAGAGTAGGGAACTGGAGGTATTGGGTAGATGGCAGGAATATTTTGAGGAACTTTTAAATGTCGATGAAAAAAGGTAGGTGGTAATTTCATACACTGGGCAGGGACGTATCGCATCTTTTAGGAGTGAAGAAGAACAGGATGTGAGTATGGGGAGGTGCGTAAGGCATTACGTAAAATAAAAGGGGGTAAAGCAGCTGGAACTGACGGGATCATGACAGAAATGTTAAAAGCAGAGGGGGATATAGTGTTGGAGTGGTTGGTATTTTTGTTTAATAAATGTATGAAAGAAGGGAAGGTACCTAGGGATTGGCAGAGAACATGTATAGTCCCTTTATATAAAGGGAAGGGGGACAAAAGAGATTGTAAAAATTATAGAGAAATTAGTTTACTTAGTATACCAGGAAAAGTGTACGGTAGGGTTATTATTGAAAGAATTAGGGGTAAGACAGAATGTAGGATTGCGGATGAGCAAGGAGATTTTAGAGTGGGTAGGGGATGTGTAGATCAAGTGTTTACATTGAAGCATATACGTGAACAGTATTTAGATAAAGGTAGGAAAGTTTTCATTGCATTTATGGATTTAGAAAAGGCATATGATAGAGAGGATAGGGAAGCAATGTGGCAGATGTTGCAAGTACAGTGGACCCCCGCATACCGCACGCATCGCATACCGTACAATCCGCATACCGCTCGCTTTTTTCGCAAAAATTTTGCCTCGCATACCGCCCAAAAACCCGCTCACCGCTCTTCGTCCGAGACGCGTCCAATGTGCGGCCTGAGCCACGCTCACATGTTCCGCCGGTGGCATTGTTTACCAGCCAGCCTCCGCGGTAACATCCAAGCATACAATCGGAACATTTCGTATTATTACAGTGTTTTTGGTGATTTTTTCTGGAAAATAAGTGACCATGGGCCCCAAGAAAGCTTCTAGTGCCAACCCTACAGCAATAAGGGTGAGAATTACTATAGAGATGAAGAAAAAGATCATTGATAAGTATGAAAGTGGAGTGCGTGTCTCCGAGCTGGCCAGGTTGTATAATAAACCCCAATCAACCATCGCTACTATTGGTGGTACAGCTGCTGCTGCTGCTGTACCACCGTCAGCTGCTGCTGCTGTTGTACCACCGTCAGCTGCTGCTGCTGCTGTAGTACCGTCTGCTGCTGCTGTAGCATCGTCTGCTGCTGCTGTAACATCGTCTGCTGCTGCTGTAGTATCGTCTGCTGCTGCTGTAGCATCGTCTGCTGCTGCTGTAGCATCGTCTGCTGCTGCTGTAGCATCGTCTGCTGCTGCTGTAGCATCGTCTGTTGCTGCTGTAGCATCGTCTGCTGCTGCTGTAGCATCGTCTGTTGCTGCTGTAGCATCGTCTGTTGCTGCTGTAGAATCGTCTGCTGCTGTTGTACCACCGTCAGCTGCTGCTGCTGCTGTAGCACCGTTGTTGGTGTGGCTTATTGAGAATACCAAGAAACAATTAACCCCAGAGGATTTGCCACCCAGGATAACCCAAAAAAGTCAGTGTCATCGAAGACTGTCTAACTTATTTCCATTGGGGTCCTTAATCTTGTCTCCCAGGATGCAACCCACACCAGTCGACTAACACCCAGGTGAACAGGGAAAAATGCCTGGAACTAGTGCTCATATTGGTGAATTTAAAGCCAGCAAAGGTTGGTTTGAGAGATTTAAGAATCGTAGTGGCATACACAGTGTGATAAGGCCTGTTCTGGAAGAAAATGCCAAACAGGACCTACAGTACTCAGGAGGAAAAAGGCACTCCAGGACACAGGTTCTCATCAGTCATTGCTGCATCTTCCATAAAGGTAAGTGTCATTTTTTTCTTCATTTAGTAGAGTAGTACATGCACAATATATATTGTGCATGTACTACTCTACTATTGTGCATGTATCCTTCTCTTTGTGTGTAGGAAAATGTATATTTCATGTGGTAAAAATTTTTTTTTCATACTTTTGGGTGTCTTGCACGGATTAATTTGATTTCCATTATTTCTTATGGGGAAAATTCATTCGCATACCGAACATTTCGCATAACAATCAGCCCTCTTGCATGGATTAAGTCGCTATGCGGGGGTCCACTGTACAGTGGAACCTCTACTTGCGAGTTTAATCCGTTCCATGACCTTGCTTGCAACTGGATTTGCTTGTTTGCAGAGTCAATTTTCCTCATTTAAATTAATTGAAATGCAATTAATCCGTTCCAGTGGAATTCTGTACTTCAATAATTTCGCTAATATCAACTCTACGGCTTATTTATCTATCTCACTTCATCTAATATGACATAATAAACAATTTAAATAACATAGAAACCTGATATATACTCTAAAATGAATAAAATGTGTCATTCATGTAGTGGTATGGGCGGTGTCGGCGGTGGACGAGAGTTTGTCTGG